TGAGTCAACTTGAGCCTTGGCGAGATTCGAACCTGCAGTAATTGCAGGCAGCTGGCTGTAATAACAGGGTGCTTTAGACCACTGTACTGCCAAGGCTCTTTTTGGTTGGCCAGTGCTCCCTCTCCCTCAAACCATCCTTCCTTTCTCCTCCCTCTGACTTTCCCCTTCCCTTTTTCTCTCTCCTTTCCTCCTATCCTGCCTTCCTCTTACTCTCCCCTTTCCTATCTTGCCCTTCCTCTTTTCTTTCCTTCCTTCCTTCCTTCCTCTTTTTCTTTCTCCCACTATCCTTCCTTTCTCTCCAATTCTTCTTTTTCTGGCCCTCCTTTCCTTCCTTCCTTCTTTTGCTTTTCTTCTTCCTTTTCTTTCGTTCTCCCTTTTCCTCTTCCCCCTCTTTCTGCTACTCTTCCTCTTTTTTCCTCTTCCCCTTGCCCTTCCCTTCCAGACCTCCTCCTCCCTTCCCTGACTCTTCCCTTCCTTCACACTTCCTCTTTTCTTGTACCATTTTCTTGGACCCAGTTTGTGGGGGCAATAAGCTGACTTGTATAAATATACAAAAGGATGAAGGCTATTGCTTAACGCACTGTAAGCCGCCCTGAGTCTCCGGAGAAGGGCGGCATATAAATCAAATTAAAAAAAAAAATAGCAACTACCAAACATCCTTTGGGATCCCATCGTTGAGCATGTTCCCCGGCTGGGAAAGGAGTCTTAAATGCAGGAAAGCATCATTTTACCAAGCAGGCTGCCATGTACACACTCCTTCTTTTGACACGAAAGTGGGGAAGAGTGCATCATCCCTCATTATGCAGATGTGCGGTCTGGAATTGTCCAGGCTGATTCCTGCTCACCGGGCTGGAGAGGAGAAGGATGTTTCAGCATGGAAAAAAGTTTTTTTTTTTCTTGCCCGGGGGCTGTTGAATTATGGCTTGCTCTCCACTTCCCTCCCCCTTCCTCCCTATTATTCCCGTGGTATCTTCTCCTTCTCTCCGTTTCATTGCTGGGGACGAGCTGCTCCAGTCTAGTGAAAAGAAGGAGTAGGGTGTGTGTGACATGATAGCACGTTCTTCAATATATTTGAGGGGCTGTCGCAGAGAAGGGGGGGGGTCAGCTTATTTTCCAAAGCACTTGAAGGCAGGACAAGAAGCGGGAGATGGAAATTAATCAAAGAGAGAAACAACCTGGAATTAAGGAGAAATTTCCTGATGGTGAAAACAATTAACCAGTGGAACAGCTTGCCACCAGAAGTTGTGGATGCTCCAACACTGGAGGTTTTTAAGAAGAGACCGGACAGCCATTTGTCTGAAATGGTATAGGGTTTCCTGTTTGAGCAGGGGGCTGGACTAGAAGACCTCCAAGGTCCCCTCCAGATTCTATTCTATTCTATTCTATTCTATTTATTTATTCTATTCTATTCTATTCTATTCCATTCCATTTATTCTATTCTATTCTATTCTATTCTATTCCATTCCATTCCATTCCATTCCATTCCATTTATTCTATTCTATTCTATTCTATTCTATTCTATTCTATTCTATTCTATTCTATTCTATTCTATTCTATTCTATTCTATTCTATTCTATTCTACTCTACACTCCACTCCACTCCACTCCAATCCAATCCACTCTATATATGGGTCAGTTGCCAAGCATCCCAATTAATTAATTATAAACAGTGTAATCAATTATAAAATTATAAACAACTAACAATGATTAAGGGTCTGGAGACAAAAACATATGAAAACGGGTTGCAGGAATTGGGTATGGCTAGTCTAGAGAAAAGAAGGACCAGGGGTGACATGATAGCAGTCTTCCAATATCTCAGGGGCTGCCCCAAAGAAGAGGGGGTCAAGCTATTCTCCAAAACACCTGAGGGCAGGACAAGAAGCAATGGGTGGAAACTAATCAAGGAGAGAAGCAACTTAGAACTAAGGAGAAATTTCCTGACTGTTAGAACAATTAACCAGTGGAACAATTTGCCTCCGGAAGTTGTGGGTGCTCCAACACTGGAGGCTTTTAAGAAGAGATCAGACAGCCACTTGTCTGAATGGTATAGGGCCTCCTGCTTGAGCAGGGGGTTGGACTAAATGACCTCCAAGGTCCCTTCTAATCCTCTTATTCTGTTGTTTCTAAACTCTTCCCCGGAGAGGAAATTCTGGGGAGGAGAAGAAGAGAAGTCCAGGGACCAAAGGAAGAGTGAAAACTTCTCCATTTGGCGTGAGGGAGGCACCCAAATTAGAAGCCTTTTTTTAAAGCCAGGGGCTAAATATGATCTGGAGGAGAGGAATAAAGAAATGAAATTAAAACGGAGAGAGAGAGAGACAGAGCGAGAGAGGGGAACAGAGAGACAGACAAGAATTGTGGCTCGAAGGACAGGAGAGCATGTGCCATTTGTGATGTTGTCCAACCTGTACAGTACAGTTGGCTGTCAAGGTAGGCAGTCAAGGAAGGGACCAAAATATTCACTATATACCTCCACTAATTCAGAATAACAGAGTTGGAAGGGACTGTTAGGAAATGACTATTACCTAACTTGTTGGGCTGGCAATATATAAACCTCAGTATAGCTTTAAGACTGCTGTATTGCATCATACTGTGTCCTGATGGTTAGCTCTGTAGCCAATGTCCTTAAGAGGGAGCTAGAAACATGGTTTGTTTCTCTTTGCTCTTCTTACTCTCTGATATCTCTGTATGCTACTGTTTGCCAATCCAGAAGAACTGTTTATTGTGAATGACTACGACGACTGGTAAGAAGACTTTGTTATTGGATTATCCCTGGACTGTCGTTTTGGCTATCTCCTGCTTTATATGTGGACTGTTTATTGGACAGTGCCTTACTATTTCCTGAAAGTAAACACAACTCAGTGTATCTGTGTGTTGTCTATGTTTATTCGTAACTACTCTCAATCGCTTTCATGTGCACACCCTTGCTACTCAAGGGTTACTCTGCGAATTCCTTAACAGGGACCTTGGACATCTTCAAGTCCAACCCCTCTACTCAAGAAGGAGACCCTATACCCGTGATGGCGAAATTTTGTCACGCGTGCCGGAAGTGGCACGCAGAGCCATATTTCCAGGCGGTTGAGCTGTCACCCAACTCAACTGCAGCTACGCATGCGCCCCAGCTGCTGTTTGGGCCTCCGCTGCACATTCGTGCAATTCAGGGGGCCCAACTGGTCTCTGGAGCTCTCCTGCACATGCGCACATATTTGCACATGCGCATGTGATTACTGGTGTTCAGCGTGCGCATGCAGACAGCGATTGTGCACATGCTTGGCGCACATGCGCAAAAAACAGCACACATGCGGAGAAGGTGTGGTTGAGCACTCCTCAGGGCATGGTGGCATGCGTGAAAGCTGTGCATATGCGCAGATGGTGCGGTTGCATACGCAGCGCATGGGCAGGAGCCACGCGTTAGCACGGATGGCACGCACGCAAAGTGCGTGAAGCACGGACCTGTTCGGCACTCGGTGAGTAAAAGGTTCGCCACCACTGCTCTATGCCAGAGATGGCTAACCTTTTTGCCATCGCGTGCCAGGAGCGCATATCCACACCCATAATTCTATTCGCCCTGCCCCGCCCCTGCCCACCCCAACACCCCCCCCCCCCCCCCCCCGTTCCTGGCACACGATGGCACGGTAGGCCCATTTTTTTTGCTCTTCCCAGCCTCCAGAGCCTTTCTAGGAGTCTGGGGAGGACGAAAACGCCCTTCCACACCCACCCGGAGGCCCTCCGGAGGCTGGAAATGGCCTGTTTGCCAACTTCCGGTAGGACCGGAAGGCCCATTTTTTGCTGTCCCCAACTTCCAGAGCCTTTCTAGGAGTCTGGGAGGGCAAAAATGGTCTTCCCCTCCCCCCACCCCCAGAGGTCCCACCCGAAATTGGCAAATGGGCAGTTTCTGGCCTCCGGAGGGCCTCGGGAAGGAAGGGAAGGCCGTTTTCGCCCTCCCCAAACTCCTAGAAAGGCTCGGGAGGCTCGGGAGATCGAAAAACAGGCCTTCCCCACCCCCCAAGTCTTCCGGAGGCAGGAAACACCCTGTTTCCCTTCTTCTGGTGGGCCCAGAAGACCTGAAAATTAGCTGGCCGGTGCGTGCATGCGTGCCGGAGTTGAGCTCACGTGCCCACCAATATGGCTACGCATGCCACCTGTAGCACGCGTGCCACAGGTTCGCCATCACGGCCCTATGCCATCCCGAACAAGTGACTGTCCAGTCTCTTCTTAAAAACCTCCAGTGATGGAGCACCCACAATTTCTGGTGGCAAAACAGTTCCCCTGGTTAATTGTTCTCACTGCCAGGAAATTTCTCTGTAATTCCAGGTTGCTTCTCTCCTTGATTAGTTCCCATCCGTTGCTTCTTCTCCTGCCTTCTGGAGTTTTGGAGAATAGATTGACCCCCTCTTCTCTGGGACAACCCCCCCACATATTGGAAAACTGCTGTCATTTCACCCCCATAGTCCTTTTCTTCATTAAACTAGCCAGCCCCAATTCCTGCAGCCGTTTTTTGTATGTTTTAGCCTCTAGGTCTTTACTAGGTCTTCATTAGATCTGTTACGGTGGTGAATCTTGCTTTCCATACACAGTTGTACGGCAGGGAGCCTGGTTCATTCATCTAGGGCAGGGTTGATGTGTGGGAGTGTTGTGTTTGCAGCTCGTGTGTGTGTGTGTGTGTGTGTGTGTGTGTGTGTGTAGGGCGGCAGGGAACGGTCCTGACCCCTGCCATTTGAGAAGAACCACAAACACTTTTCTCTTAACAAAAGGAGTGGAAAAAAATGAGCCTTTTCCCCTACCGGCCATCTGATTCCTTCTTGAGGTTTGGAAAGTGGATTGATATTCCAGCCTTTTGATGTTAGCGTGTCAGGTTTTGGTGAGGCCGGTTTGATCGCTGCTGATGTGCTGGAGAAAGTTGCCTAAATGTGTTTTTTCTTTTTCTTTTTTCTTTTCTCGTTTTCTCTCTCTCTCTCTCTCTCTTTCCCCCCCTTCTTTCCCTCCCTTCTCTTCCTCCTGCAGATGAAACTCTCGTTTACTTTGGACAAAGAGACCGGGATGCCACAAGGCTGCTACAGCTATCAATACCGGGACAGCAACAAGTAAGGCTCAGCTAGGCTGCATTAACACAGGGACAGAATCAAGGGATCACGGGAAGTTGTTAATACCGCTTTATAAGGCCTTGGTAAGGCCACCCTTGGAATCCTGCATCCAGTTTTGGCAGCCACGATGTAAAAAAAGACGTGGAGACTCTAGAAAGAGTGCAGAGAAGAGCAAGGAAGAGGATTAGGGGGCTGGGGGATAAAACATGCGAAGAACGGTTGCAGGAATTAGATACGGCTAACCTAGTGAAAAGAAGGAATAGGGGTGATGTGATACCCTGTTTCTCCGAAAATAAGACATCCCCTGATAATAAGCCCAATCGGGCTTTTGAGCGCATGCCCTAAAATAACCCACCCACCCCGAAAATAAGCCCTCCCTGAAAATATTTAAATGCATGTGCAGCCAGTGCCCGCCATTTCCTCTGGTTAGGGTTAGGGAGACAGAGTTGGAAATCAGGTAAGATGGCAAGAGGAGCCCCGTCTTGCTCCACACGCCCCCCAAAAATAAGGCCTCCCCGAAAATAAGGCCAAGTGCTTATTTCGGGGTTCAAAAAAATATAAGACAGGATCTTATTTTCAGGGAAACACGGTACTCTACTCTATCCCATCCCATCCCATCCCATCCCATCCCACTCTACTCTACTCTACTCTACTCTACTCTACTCTACTCTACTCTAC